ATAATATTCCCTGGTGCTAGAAATGATGCTGGAGATTGCATGATAGAATTTTGCAAGACCGACTTATTCATTGGCAAATCTTTAGTTCCAGATAATCATTTAAATCAAGAGTCCTTTCCTTTAATTAATGGAGAAAGAAAAGGAGAGTAGGGAAAATAATCAGCACTATTGATAACAGAAATTGATACCAGTGTTGAAATATTCAAAGGTTCATATAATTTTGTCCCCATCACTTCACCAACACCACTGCCATCATCACCATCATTAACGTCATAATCATCCTATCATCATCACAGGTGCATAGATACCATAGATCTTCTTAGATACCATACTTCTCAGATGCCTATGTATAAAATCTCATTCATTTTTCACAATTTAATGAAGTCAATTTTTACCTCAATTTTATAAATAAAAAAAAAATAAATTATGTAGCTTGTTAAAACCTTAGGATAAAGTTTTGACAAGTAAAAATCTATGTAGAATTAACAGGATAAAGAGGCTTGTTTTTATAAACTAGGTTATTCTGTTATCCACAATTTCTACTGGAAAATACATTATCACATGTAAGACCCTATCTTAAAGAATGTATTGTATATATATTTGAAATACTAAGTTTCAAAACTTCTTAGATATTTTCAGAATGTAGTTTTGTATGTTTTCCAATACTTCTTTGTGGACATCTTTTAATTGTTTATTGAAATCTTAGGTTCTTATTTTGATATCCAAAGTTTATGCTTTTATGTCCAACTAGAATCTATCCTTCATGAAACCTGAGATTGCCAAATATGGAAAGACAGATAGAGTAACCTTCACAGTAATTAATAAATGATAGAAATTCACTAAATATTTCAACAAATAAATATATTTTTTGCTTTCACAAATGAAAAAAAATATACGTATTTTGATTTACTTATTCAATAATTGTTGTTGTTTGCCGTCGAGTTGGCCCCAACTCATAGCGACCCCTCCTTGGGTTTCTGAGGCAGCATCACTATGGAAGTAGGATTGCCCAACCTTCCTTCCGAGGAGTGGCTGGTGGGTTTGAACTGCCAGTCTTCTGGTGAGCAGTCAAGTGCCTTAGACACTATGCTACCAGAGCTCCTATTCAATAATTACTTCATTCAAAAATTTGCATTATGTGTCTAACATGTGGACCACACCTTGGAAGACTAGAAAAGTTTACCAACATAGTCCTAGAAAGATGAAGAAGTTAGAATCTGGCATTTGCCCATTGGATTGAGAGATTAGAAGATACCAGTGAGAGAGATGAGACATGATATAATGAGCATGAATGATTTAAGTCAACAATTACATGAAGCGTGTGTAGATGTAATGACACAGGGACTTAAAAAAGGAGGAGATAGACTCTCACAATGATGTAAGAGTTGGAGAAAAGACTGTAGGAAATACTACAAGGAATAAGTCTCTACTTTTCAATGAGCAGGCATATTGGGTAAGTTTGAAGGCAAGGATTCAGATATACTTACTGTAACAGTTATGGAATTTAAGAACTTAGTCTCAGATACTCTGTGGCTAGAACTGGATCTCAGAGTCATAATCAGACTAATCACACATTTGATTTGATCTGAGTAACTTGAGTTACCAAAAATTACAACTATTTCTCTATGACAATGGACAGAATTAATTTCTTAGACTAAATAGAGTTGAGGAAGCTGAAAGACAACTAGTAATAGTTGGCACTTATGACATAATGTATTATAGTGAAGATTATGGGAAAACCCATATACAAATAAGGAATTCAGGTAATCTAATGTTCTAAAATATGTTCCAGCTGAGTTGAGAACGAAAGGAGTCTCTATATATGCTGTTGTTCATTTCTTATGTGATTACAGACAGCCTCTAAAATTTAGACTATGGAATCATTTAATTGTCTGAATCTGTGAGGTATTACAGACACAAGTTAAGTCAAATAGAATATGCTGATATCCTGAAGTTAGTTTAGCACTAATCAGAAAACACATATCATTGGTGCAGCAGCATTTACCATGATTTTTGACAGTGAGTTATGAACAAGTCCTTTGCAGCAGATTTACCCAATATAATACATTGATTGATTTCTTGACTGCTGCTTCCATGAGCATTGATTGTGGATCCAAGTAAAATGAAATCCTTGACAACTTTAATCTTTTCTCCATTTATCATGATATTTCTTATTGGTTCAGTGGTGAGGATTTCTGTTTTCTTTATACTGAGGTGTAAAAGATGTATTTAAAGTGTTAAAGAGTTTTCAAAATGACAAAGCTGTCATTTTGAAGACTAAGGTGTGCCTGATCCAAGCCATGGTATTTTTAGTTTTTAATTGCCTCATATGCATGTGACAGCTAGACAATGAATAAGGAAGAGCAAAGAAGAATGGATGCCTTTATGGTACTGGTGAAGAACATTGATTATATCATGGACTGCCAGAGAATGAACAATCAGTTTTGGAAGAAGTAGAACTAAAATGCTCCTTAGAATCAAGGATAGCAAGACTTCCTTTCTCGTACTTTGGTCATGTTTTCAGGAGGGACTAGTCTCTGGAGGAAGACATTATGCTTAGTAAAGAAGAAGGTCAGTGAAAAAGAGAAAGACTCAATTAAATGAATTGACATAGTGGCTGCAACAATGGGCTCAAATAAAGCAACAACTGTGAGGATGGTGGAGAACCAGGCAGTGTTTCATTTTGTTGTATGTAGGGTTACTATGAGTCCCAGCTGACTCAATGGCATCTAACAACAATAATTATTAATAGACACATGTCTTAAGTATAACAGTATAATTCAATTTTCTATTTTGAAAGTAGAAAGGATTATAATTAGTAATTCTTATAGCTCTGTTAATTTTTCATGTTATGTGAACAGAATTCGGTGATTGTTGTTTGAATTTCATATAACTTCTGATGTAGCATAATGTACAAGAGAACATTTCTCTTGCTCAGTGGGCTGTGGCCCCTTCTTAACAATACCATTCCCCGAAAACATTAGCTACATACAACAGTTAGCCTTATTTTATTGTCCAGTAGACACACATAGTACATGGTAACAAATAATACATTAGTAAAAATGTTATCTTGTACGTGTGTTTGCCAGTTTTTAAAATGAAAATGCCCTCTACCTGTGGGTTTGCTATTAAGTAAAGACACTCTGAAGAGTTAAAAATACAGATCTGCATAGGAAGAATGCTAAGTAAAGGTAGGTACCCAAGTCTTTTACTACCAACACAAACATTTCACATTTCAGCCTCCTTCCTAAACAATACTTTGACCAAAAGTTCTGATATTTGGAAAAATGGAATGGTCTGAGTTTGAAATCAATATTCTTTCTCACTAATCCAGGAGTTAGCACTAGAGAGAAAGGGGAGCAAGGAAACTGAAAAATTCACAAACACCACCTTTCAAATTGCGGAAAATAAAAAGTTTATGTTTATAATGCTGTAATAGAAAAATCATAATTTTGTTACCTTTCTCAATAGTTTTACTTTGGCAAAAGAGATGTTGCCTGATACTTTAAATTCACAGGGTGATATATATGAATACTTGATGTGGAACATTTTTATGGTGAAATGAAATAAATAGGATAAGGCTCACACCCCACCCATAAACATAAAACCTAGTAATGTTTTTCAAATGGAATAATTTGCACTGATATGGTGTATATATTTTGATGACATTAACAAAAATTTAATAAATCCAGAAAAAAATATAACCAAGCAATGTAAATTTGTTCTTACTATACAAGGAAAATAATTTTCCTTTCAGTAATGTCTGTGCCAAGTGTTTCCTTTTCTTTCATTTTTTTTCCCTCCTATTTGTGGAATATAGCATTGAAAAAGTCAACAAACATTTGATTAGTTAATTCCCCTAGAATATGAATCTTGAAGTTTGTGATTCAGCTCTCCCACTAAAAAGGATAAATTATATTTCAAAACGAGATGAACAATACTACTCATGCCAATGATCACCCATACCAATCTTCGGGTCTGACTTCAACCTAGTAATCCCACAAATTATTTTACCTGAGATAGGCAATGTAAATCACTGTTCCTCAGACTTGGGTAGGAAAACAGATATTTTTTAAAAACATTTAATATTTCAAAAATCTTCTAAAAAAATTGTTTACATGGATCCTAGAGCTGACTTCAATTATTTTATATTATTACTTAACACATTGTATGGAATCAATTCCAATTCATAGGAAAGCACAAAACAAGACAAAATCTCCTCATCTTCATAGACAAAATGAAAACCAGAATTTTAACACAAAACTAAAATAAGCAATGCTATTTTCAGATGATGGAGGAGAATAGTAGTCAAAGCTGAATCATCATTTGCAACATATATGGAAATGATTGGTACAGCATGGGGCTTTCAAACTTGGCACACATAAACCACCATATGATGATTTGGTTCAATCATCATTTTTACTCTTACGAGTCCCTCTGACTTTTATTTGCCAAAGCCATTTCTTACACATCAAATATATTCCTCTGCACATTTCTCATTTGCCTATGGCTATCAGAGTAATCCTATACTATTTTACATCAACATGATTGAAAAGAAAAAGCCAAACACAGGTCCAAATATCACTTGGCAATATTCCATCATAAGTTAACTATACAGATGGTCCAGATTATTTTATATTAATATTTAAAGGAAAACACAACACTTAAAAAATATTACAGGTAACTACTGACTCCTAGTCTGCAGACTAAAATGAGAAACTAAATTAAGTAGCTTAATAAAATTATTACTTTCTTCATAACCTGGTGACATTCCCAATTAGTGCTGAAACAATATAAAGGAAAAGAAGTTTAATCATATTGAAGTAGGACTTTAATTTCTTTTTAAGACTAATTTTTTTCTTATACACACACTTTATTACAATTAGTGCAATATATTATTTCACAATTACTGAAAGGCTTTCTTAAATACTTAGTGTGCATCATCTACAATTTCAGAAAGTCTGATGACATGAATTTAAATTATGAAATAGACTTCTAACCTTTTGTTCTCTCTAACTGCTTTGTCTCCTTTCTTCCAAGAGATGGTAGGCTTTGGAGAACCTTGGGGTTTGCACTCTATGATGACTTCTTGGTCTTTGGTAACAATTATTGTTTTCTTCAATTGATTCAGTGCAAAAGTGGGAGCTGAAGCTATTAAACAGAAAATGTTAGTTGCAGCACATCCAATGATTATAGCCTCTCATGCATGACTCATCAAGATTTTGTAACTTTTTCTTCTGAAATACCTTTCTAATATCTACACATGTGAAAAACAGTAGCTCATCATTTATTTTTTTTTAATTTTTTGATATATATTTTACTGGCTATCCTTCCTATTAGCAGGTAATGGTTTCATACAATGTAAGTGCACACTCAAAGCCTGCTTTGTTTACTTATTTATTTTTAATGGCCTGCTTTATTTCATGCTTTGATTGTGAAAGACTAATGAGCAACTTTGTCAAAAGGTCAGGGACCAACAAAGGAAGTCTACTTGGACTTTGGAAAAGTGAAGTTTATGTGAGGAGAAGACAGTTCTGTGTCTATCATTGCCTATACATGTATCTTAATTTCATATATATACTGAATGTAATATAAAATTTAAATTTCAAAGAAATATTTAAAAAATAAAATAATTTATATTTCAATAACAACTTTTATTACTTAGTTGCAATTATTTACATAGATCTGATTATATATTGATAATAAAATGATCTCAACTAGACTTTTATCATTACACTTTTGAATCTAAAAGATAGGTAAACATGTCTGCTATATTGGAGACATTTACTTATGTCAATTCTACAATTTCATGGGTGATTTATAAGTATTTTATGTTTGTCATGCAGCAATACAATTTATGTCATAAAAATATTTTTTTAAAAAAGATTTTATACATGCAATTGAGATGTGTTAAGAAATTGAAAGAAAAGCAAATAAATTGGTGAGGGAAAGTACAGAAAGATTTGTGGTTGCTTACGGGGAATAGAATTTACAAAAGGAAATTTTTGAAAATGGATGCAATGAATGAGAAGGAACACATTTTGATGGGTCTCTGGATAAATAATCAATCAGAAGAAGGCTTGATCAACTCTAACAAATGTTGGGGTGAGTTGACAAGAAAGAATGTTAATACCTGGTTGATTATAGAAATTCAAATGTGAAATCTTCTATTTATTTAGGATGGATATTTTGTAATGTGGAGAAATTTATAGTGTAAATATTCATAATTCAATATTTCATTTATGATATATTTAGTTAATGTGTACATAGTAGTTTTCCATATTCCTGAGATTTGTGGGTCTTTCTATTAATGTTGTGTTTTGGGAATTTAACTGGGGAACAAAAAGCATCCTTGGACTTCTGCCCATTTTGTGAAGATAGTGAGTTAAGGTCACATAAATATCCCTCTTTGTATTACATGTGTTGTGCAACCAAAGATAAGGAAACCATCAAAGTGGGAAAAAATAAATCCACTCCAATGATCAAAATATATTCAATTTGAGGAGTTTATTCCAGTAGATTGAATCTTTCCTGTAGTATTGAAAGAGTGGTGAAGTAGTGTTAGTATCCTTGTTACATTCTTACTGAGCATGTGGCCCTATGAGACTGCTGGACCTGGTTTCAGAATGATAATGACCATGATGAGAAGGTGATTTATTTTGGAGTCTGCCTTCCAAAAACCACATGCCTAATGGTAGGTAGGAGCTGCTTGGGAAATATTAATCATTGCTCCGATGGCATAGTTCCTAAGGCATTTGACTACTAACCAGTGGCTGGAGGTTCAAACCCATCAGCCACTCCTCAGAAGGAAAACTAGGCAATCTACTTCTGTAGTGATACTGCCTCGGCAGTGAGTTTGGTTTTTTGTTTATGGTAGGGCTGAGAGACTACCAGAAATCTAGATATTGATCCCTACACTTAGAGCATTCCCCCTTGAGGATAATACATAGTTCTTTGCATGAGTGTTTTTTAGTGCCATAGTAAAGACATTATGTAAACTTTTTAAGATTAAAAACTACATGAGAAAAAACTTAAAGAAGTTATGGAACAAATTATATACAATGTAAACATGGATCCTCAAGCTTAAAAAAAAAAAAAAAAAAAATCAAGAAAATTAGCATTTACAACCACATCATAAAACTTCAGTATGGAAAGATTTAGAACATGAAAAGAAGTCACTTTTTTTTTTCCTATTTATTTACTTAGAAATTGCATACCTAAAATCCTTAGTTCAGCACTGGCATAAATGGCTCCATATTTATTTTCAGCCAAACACTGATACATTCCAGCATCTGATTGATTCACATTGTGGATCATCAATACTCCATTAACCATCTCAACCCTACTCTGTAATGCAACAGAAAAAAAATTAGATCTAGAAAGTAAACAAATGATGTGAATACTGTGGGCACTCTCCCCTAGGCTGAGAAAAAAAAAGCCTCAAATTAACAGAGTTAAATATTATTTGGCAACTTAGCAAACTTGCTGTTTATTATTTTGTTTATTTGGACATGTCTCTTATAATTTACAACTATTTTGTGATCAGAAAAGAAATAATTATATTTTCCTGGAATTTTTCATACACGTATTATTTTAGGTTTTGTTTTTAAATTGAGTTGCCATTGGCAAACAAGTTGAGCTTGTGAAACACAATTAGCAGACAAAAGCATTATTTGGATCTATTTTACAAATGAGGAACAGGGGTGGCAAGAATTGAGACCATTGATATATAGGATTAAGATTAAAAGTAACCAAACAAAGTTATAATATCAATATTATATTGATCCAATAAGGAATTTTTGTTTTCTATCATTTCATAAGAAAATACACATATACACAAGGAAACAAAAAAACAACACTATAAGCAGCTCTGAAACTAGATTTTGTTTACAAGTACTGGTCTGAAACTATAAACTCTATTATCACAGAAAGCTTATATATTAAGACAGGAAATTGAGCATGTGAAAATTGAGGTAAGATGAAGCTATTAACACATTTCTAAGACAACTTTTAAATTTAAAGTGTGTTAAACAATGAAATGTTTTATCTACTTAATGTCAAGCAAACTGTTTTGTAAGTTTTAATGGACAGTATTTTGATTTTCTATCAATAGAGATGCTAAGTAATTTGACACAATTTTCAAAATAAGCCATTCAAACAGCAGAGGTATTATCTGCAAGTAGCTTTTACTTTACTTAGTTAGACACTGGGGGTAGATAATATAATCAGCATAGTCCCTTTTCAAAGCTTATCTGGTGTCCTAGGAAAATTACAGAGAAAGAATCAATGTATCAGGAATTTTCTGATCAGCTTTCTTTAACAGCACTGTAGTGTTGGTTATTTGTATCTTTTTGTATATTTGCCATTTGTTTTGGTTTCATCAGTTTTAGAATAAGACAATATTGGAGCTGGAGAAAATTGTGGGGATTATCTGATCCCATCTTTATTTTACAGTTGAAAAACTGAGGTAAAAAGAGATCAATGACTGGTAAGAGATTTCCTCATTAATGTCAGGACCTGTGCAGGACCAGTTCAGAGTCTCCATTGCATGCAATATTCCCTCCTTTTTGTCCACAAATAGTGAACTATTCCCCCTCTGCAAAGGCCACAACAAACAAATAAAATTATTATCCTCATGTCAATGCTAATAGTAATTGATTTATTTTTGAATGCAATATACATTGAGTTGTTTTTAAAATGTATGGTACATTTACTGAAAAGACAACAAATATCTTTTAATGTTTTAATAAATAAGTATAGGATAGCAGGATGTTATAGAAAGAATCCTGCTCAGGACACAGGAGACAAAAGTCCTATTTAAATCTCACCCTGTTTCTAGATATGTGATCCTAGGCATGGCGCTTTACTGCTAGAGATTAATGCCATCATGTAGTGTGACAGAGACAAGCTAGATGATAACTAAAGGCAGTTAGAAATTGCAAGGATTCTGTGACAATCACCGATATTTTTCTATGAAAAAAATTAAAGAAGCAATTTATTACTCAAAAGAGTAATGAGATAATTATATACAAAGAGAAACAATATATTTATTATATTTCTCAATCCAAATATTTTATAAGGTAGAAGTAGGAAATGGTTTCCAACGAAACTTAAGACAAGAAAGGGTAGTTCTTCCTGTGTGAAATTCTGTCAAAAATTATATTGGAACAAGTTAACAGTTACCAAGAGTACCTGAGGCAAGAGGGGAACTCCATTCTTCAGCCAACGATATATGGGCCTGGGTTTTCCAGTGGCCTTACATTCCCATCGGAGAGGACTTCCACTGTCTAAACGAGTATCATTCAGTTTTTCTACCCAGTGTGGATAGGCTGTAAATATTTAAGCATTAAAGAAAAGTGATTTCATCTCTTAGACACTGTTTACCAAGTACAAATTTCAAATGGAAATATTCAATACAATCTTTTAGCAACTCATTAAGCATAGGTTTGGAAGAAATATAGCATTACATTGCACACAGAACTATAATTACTGTGTAAAAATTTTAGTAGTGTAATATTTTGATACTTTAAAATACTCTTGTAAAGAAAGTATAGTACAATATGTTATTGGTTTCTTTACCCACTTTAAAGCAAGTGGTTTGATTCTCTCTAAGGCATAATAAAAATCAAAAGCACTGCCGTCAAGTTGGATCAGACTCATAGGACCCCTCCTTGGGTTTCTGAAGTGATGTCACTTCAGGAGTAGATTGCCCAACCTTCCTTCCAGGGAGTGTCTGGTAGGTTTGAACCACCAGCCTTCTGATTAGCAGTCAGATGCCTTAGGCACTAGGCCGCCAGAGACACTGCTAAATTCTCAATCTTTATCACATTAATCCTTAAAACAGATCCCAGTTTATGAAACAGGGAAAGTTGGCTCAGAGACTTTAAGTAAATTTACTCAAGGTCATGAAGTTAACTTTCAAGAAGTCACTTTAAATCCAGATATTTCTGATTCCAGAACTCCTGCACTGGCAGAGTGAAAGGTGAATTGGTAGCAATTGGTTTATCCCTAATATATTTTAACTTGTACTTCTCTTTAAGTGGGAGTTTTGTTTCTAATAGTTTACTTGTCTTATAGGCAATACAGTCTGGTCTTTCAAAAGGTCTGCATGGGCATAGTCAGGATTTCTAGGTGTTTGAACACATTCAGTGATTGAATGTATAAGCCTACAAGCTATACATTAATCTTATCCTGGTGAGCTTCAAATATCGACCCTAACTTTTATGCTTGACTTTTGAAATCTATATCTTTGTACATATGCTACATGTCATATATGCTACCAATCCTGATAGGAATGGTAAGGTACAAAAACAGTATTAAACTCTACTTTCACATTTGAGCTTTCTTTAAAATTTTATACCTTACTTTTCTGGGTGGATTTGCTGTCTCCAAGTGGATGGATTTGCTGTCTCCAAAGCACACCTTGAACTTTATTCAAGCTATTCACTTCACATAGGATAGTCTACCTCTCTTCTCTGTCTCTTTTAGTTCTACCCATAATTCAAGATTTAGTGTAAATTATATAAAGTATACCAATCCCAACTCCAAATGTCAATCATCTACTCCTTCTTTGAACCCCTCTACATTTCATTTACTTGGAAAATAATTACATACTGGTGTCTTACTCATTTCTCACTGCTGGCTTACATTAGTTGGCCTGTGGTTTGAAACCCAAGTTAGATAGAAAGATCATTGAGACCAGAATTGACATGACTTACCTGTTTTTGTACGTAACACTGACACATATAATGTTGTTGTAAGACACTGTCAAGTTTCTTCCAGCTCATAGCTACCTTATGCACAGCAGAAGAAACATGGCTCAGTTCTGCTCCATGCTCACGATCATGCTGAGTCCATCTTTGCTGACTAATGTCACTCAATTCCATTTTTCACTGACCCTCTAGCAATCAGATATCATTCCCCATGGATTGGTCCCTTCTGACAACAAGACCAAAATACAAGAGACAGCGTCTGGCCATTCTTGCTTCTAAGGAGCATTCGGCTGTACTTCCATCAAGACAGATTTGTTCATTCTCCTAGCCGTCTGTGCTACATTCAGTATTCTTCAACAACACCACAATTAAAATGCATCAATTCTTCTGTGGTTTTCCTTATTCATTCTCCAGCTTTCACATGCATGGTGTTATTGAAAAGACCTAGAGTTGGGTCAAGGACACATCAGTCTGCAAAATGACATCTTTGTTCTTTAACATTTTAAAGAGGTATTTTTAAAAAAGCAACAGATTTGCCCAATGCACTACATTGGTTTCTTGACTGCTGCTTTCATGGATGATGACTGTGGATCCAAGTAAAATAAAATCCTTGACAGCTTCAAATGTTTCTTCATTTATTATGGTGTTGCTTAGTGGTCCAGCTGTGAGGATTTTCATTTTCTTTATATTGGGGTGTAATCTATACTGAAGGCTGTAGTCTTTGATCATCAGTAAGTGCTTCAAGTCTTCTTCACTTTCAGCCAAGCAAGGTTGTGTCATCTGCATCTTGGAGTTTGTTAATGAATCTTTCTTCAATACTGATGAGGTATATTCTTTCACATAGTCCAGCTCCTCATATTATTTTCTCAGCATAGAGATTGAATAAGTATGGTGAAAAGACACAGCCCTGATGTATACCTTTCCTGATTTTTGTATCCCCTTGTTTTGTTCAAATGACTGCCTCTTGGTCTGTATTCAGGTTCCTTATGAGTGCAATAAAGTGTTCTGGAATTCCCATTCTGACAATGTTACCCATAATTTCTTATGATGTACATAGTCAAATGCCTTTGCATAGTCAACAAAACAAAGATAAATATCTCTGGTATTCTTTGTTTCAGTCAAGATGTATTTAACATCAGCAACAATATCTCTCATTCCACATTCTCTTCTGAATCTGGCTTGAATTTCTCTGGAAGTCACTTGTCAATGTACTGCTGCAACCATTTTGTAACTACCTTCAACAGTACTTTACTTGTGTGTGACATTAATGATATTGTTTGATAATTTCCACATTGTGTTGTATCACCTTTCTTTGGAATGGGCACAAATATGGATCTCTTCCAGTTGGTTGGCCAGGTAGCTGTCTTACAAATTTCTTGGACTAAATGAGTAACTGGCTCCAGCACTGGATATTTTGTTAACACATCTCAGTAGGTATTCCATCAATTCCTGGAGCCTTATTTTTCACCAATTCTTTCAGTACAGCTTGGACTTCTTCCTTTCATATGATTAGTTCTTGATCACATATTACCCCTTGAAATGATGGAATGTTGAGCACTTCTTTTTGGGTCAGTGACTGTGTATTCTTTCCATCTTCTTTTGCTGTTTCCCTTGTCTTTCAATATTTTCCCCATAGAATCCTTCAATATTGTGACTCAAAGCCTGAATTTTTTCTTCATTTCTTTCAGAATGAGAAATGTTGAGCGTGTTCTTCCCCTTTGATTTTCCAACTTCAGATCTATGCACATCTCATTATAATAATTTACTTTGTCCTCTTGAGCTGCCTTTTGAAATCATCTCTTCAGCTCTTTTACTTCATCATTTTTTCCATTCACTTCAGCTACTCTCCATTGAAGATCAAGTTTCAGAGTATCTTCTGACATCCGTTTTTGTCTTCTCTTTCATTCCTGTCTTTTTAATAAAATTTTGCTTTCTTCATGTACTACGTCTTTGTTGCCAACCCTTAATTCATCAGGTCTTCAGTCACTGGCGTTCAATGCATCTATCTATTATTCAGATAGTAGTTGGTGCTCTCTAAATTTAGGTCTCCTTAATTTATTTAGGGCCATGTTTAATTTTCTTCACCTTCAACTTAAATTTGCATATGAACAATCAATGGTCTGTTCCACAGTTGCCCCATAGCATTGTTTCCACTGATGATATTGAGCCTCTCCATCACCTCTTTCCACAGATGTAGTTGATTTGATTTCTGTGCATCCATCTGGAGAGGTCCATGTGTATAGTCACCATTAATGCTGTTTAAATAATGTAGGGTATTTGTAATGAATACGTCATTGGTCATACAAAATTCTATCATGTGGTCTTTGGAGTCATTTCTATCACCGGGGCTCTAGTTTTCCACTACCAATATTTCTTTCTTTCCAACTTTAGCATTCCAATCACCAGTAATCATCGATACAGCTTGATTGTATGCTTGATCAATTTTAGACTGTAAAAATTGGTAAAAATCTTTAATCTCTTCAATTTTGGCTGTGGTAGTTGGTGCATAAATTTGAAAATTAATAGTATTAACTAGTCTTCCTTGTAGGTGTGTGGATATTATCTTATCACTGACAATATTATATTTCAGGATAGATCTTGAAATGTTCTTGTTGACAATGACTGTGGTGTCATTCCTCTTTGGTCTGTCATTCCAGGAATAACAGAACATATATTGCCCAATGAAAAATGACCAATACCAATCCACTTCAGCTCACTAATGCTTAGGATATTGATCTTTATGCATTCCATTTCTTTTTGACAACTTCCAATTTTCCTGGGTGAATACCCCCTACATTACACATCCAATTACTAATGGGTATTTGCAGCTGCTTCTTCCATTTTGAAGCTGTTTCTTCTCATTTTTTGATTTGTGTAACATCAGCAAATGAAGTACTGAAAGTTTTACTCCATCACGTCATTAAGATCTGCTCTACTTTGAGAAGGCAACTTTTCCTTAGTTGTACCTTGAATGCCTTCCAACTTGAGAGGCTCATCTTCTGACACTATGTCAGACAATGTTTCTGATCTATAAAATAAGGTTTTCATTGGACATGGTCACATCCTTTTTCCTAATCTGCCTTAGTCTGGAAGCCCCACTGAATCCATCCACCATGGGTGGCCCCACTGGTATTTGACACACCACTGGCATAGCTTCCACCACAGCAAGCTACCACATCATGAGCCTTCATACGTATTGATCTATCTCTTAATGTTTTGTGACTAGAACTTGTATATACAGCTTGTTGGAGTTAAATTGAAAAGAGATCTTAAAAAATTACTAAAATTATAAGTTTGGAAGAACGCATATTAAAATGAAAAAGCAAAAAAAACTACTAACATAATACTTCTACAAACATATTTTATAGTGTTCTATAAAATGACCTAAATTGGAATTATGATTACAAAATAAATTTGTTACTGGAATCAAAGAAGTGATCAATGCTACTAAAATAAATTAATTCCTACTTTCTTTTATTCTTCATATGTTTATTGGGCACTACAATGCATGTAATATATAGTACTGGAACTACATAGATAAATATGTTACAGTGTCTCCTTTCAATTCAAAATCTAATGAGTGAGATGCATTTAAAATGTTATCCAAATATATTACT